ATTTGTTATTTTTCGTATACCATATCTTTTATTTCGATGGATTCACTAACCTCGTTGACAGTCTTACCTATTATATCTAATTAAAGTGGATAAATTGAACAGTGAAATGTTAACAAAAATAAAAATGACATAATTTAAATCTCAAAATATATAAAATAAATCAATATATTTACCAATAAATGAAAATTTATTGTGAAATTGATAAATAATTGTAATTGTATAAAATTAAATTTGATTTTTCAATTATTTTTGCTCGAATTTAATTATCAAAACCGTCAAGTATCCCAAATAAATACAATGTAAGTATTAATAACTACAAATATTAAATTTAACTTATTTAAAAATTACCCGAACATTGATGACCTAAAACTAACACATAATTCGCTTGATGGGTGTCTTATGTTGATGTATTGGATCTGCATATAAAAACAAAATTTTGTAAACAAAATATAAATATATAATATGTAAGTATCCCAAATTAACACAATTTATGTAATAATTACAAATACAAATTTAAACACAGGATTTTAAAAATTAAGCTTAACATTAACACAAAATTACTAACACAAAATTCAATTGATGGGATTTTTTTTTAAAAATATATTGATATAAAATTTTGTTTATATCGTATGATTTGTCAATTTATAATAGCAGGTATCATAAATTTTCACTTAATTATAATTACTGAATAATTTTTTATTTCTTATCATAAATACTATAAAAATTTATCTTAAATGGTAGGTATCAAACTTTATTATAATCGTTTATCATTTGAATATTTTTTATCTTAATATATTTTTTGAGATTTATCTTTTCCTATATTTTTTTAGATTATACTCGTATTATTGATATAATATATTTATCTTTTCATATAGTTTTCCTTTTTTTTACATTAATATAATTTAATTCGTAGATTATAATCTACGTCGCATTAAAATTTTAGAGATATATCAAATCTAATTCGTTCCTTTTATATAGGTGGCGATATAATTGTTTAATTCAAAAATAAAATACAAATATAAATCTTTTTTCTTATTGGTCGAAGTAATTATATTTCTTACATATATATATATATTTATATATGTTAAGCAAATGCAAATCTGACCCTAGTAAATATATGAGCAGCAACACAGGATCTTATGTCTTGCGTCATCGAGAAAGTATATTTTATCCGTTTTAAAAAAAAAAGAGAATATTTTATGATTTCTCTATTGTGGATTAAAATGTCAAATGTTGAGTTATTATTGGTTTCTGTACGTAGGATACTCGAGTTCTTTGTGAATTCATACGAAAACTATTTTAATTAAAGTGTTCCTTCTAGGTTTCTCCTTGGGAGCGAGGGTTTTTCTGGTTTTCTATAGGGTTTTTCCTTTGGAAGAGTTTTTTTTAGCCTCCATTGTTAGATTTCCAGGTTTTTTATTTAAAGCTTTTCCTTCACTCTTCTCCTTTTTTTCTCTTTCTCTTTCATCTCTTTTCCTTTGGTCTCTTCTGTGAATCTTTGTAGGGGGTTTCATCGGTGTTTTTACCGGTGGTAAGCCCAAACAAACTTTTAATTGCTTTCAATGATGGGGTCTCATATTTGAAATGTTGGTTTATTCTATTAGGGTCAATTCCTTTTTTGTTTGTCTATCAAAGATTGAAGATTTGAGGTTTCATAATCTCCGTAAGTATCTAGAAAAGCATATGATTATTTTCACTTAAACAACTATTCATTAGTGGATCTCAAAACTCACAGATTGTATTGTTTCGAATGAAATTTTTGTATTAAGGCGACCGTTGATTGAATATGCAATGTATCTAGTTCTAAGATGATTTGTACTTGTGTTGGAATTCTAATTTTTCTAGAAATTATTTGATATTTGTAAGTATCATTTGGCTATCTTTCATTGATGAAATTGTTTTAAGATGCAATGTATATATATATATATGTATATATATATATATATATATATATATATATATATATATATATATATATATATATATATATATATATATATATAGGAAGGCTCATGTAAGAACCCAATCTTATATAAGAACCAATCTCGGCCCTTTATAAGTTTTGATCTAACCATCTAAAACGATCATTTAGTAATGACATTTCTGTAATTTTGAGGAGTTCATGTTTAGAACATAGGAAAAAAATTTACAACATAAGCAATATATATATATATATATATATATATATATATATATATATATATATATATATATATAGAAAATAAGAAGAAAAAAAAATTAATATAGAAAAACTTTAGAACATAAGCAAGCAAAAATTTAGAACATAAGAAAAATAATTTATAGCATAGGAAATAAATTTATAACATAAGCTAAAAAAATAATTTAGAACATAAGCTGAAAAATAATTTAGAACATAAATTGAAAAAGTAATTTAGAACATTTTAACAAATTTAGAGCATAAGCTAAAAAAAATTAAGAACATAGGAAATAATTTGGAACATAAGTAGAAAAAAATTACAGTAGGACATTGGAAAAACTTTAGAACAGAAAAAAATTTAGAACATATGAAAAAGTTTAGAACATAGTAAACTGTTTAGAACAGAAGGTGTTCTTACATAACAAAAAGGGTTCTTATCGGATCTTTTATATATATATATATATATATATATATATATATATATATATATAAAAGTGCCATAACAAACATGTATACGAGTGATTTTTTTTTCTAAGCAAAAAACAAATGAGTAATGAACATATATAAAGGAAAAGAAAATGATGAAGAGAGTAAAAAATATCAAAATGATCCTTGCATATTCATCAATACTAATAAATTACTTCCTCCGTTCTTTTTTACTTGACCCACTTTGACTTTTATACTATTCACCAACCCACCTTTGACCGTCTTTTGTGAATTATAGATAAAGAAAAACATATTCATGTAGGATCTTGTTAGGATCGTCTAAATAAGTACTATGATAATATATAACTTTTATAATTTTTATTTATAGAGTATTACAATTATTGATAGTTAATCTGGTGTATTGGCAAGCGTGATAAAAGAAATAGGTCAAGTAAAAAAAAAGAGGAAGTACTAATTACTTAGCACTTTAGATACATTGGGCCACTAGCCCTCAAGTGTTTCTCATTTTACAATTTGTCAAAATGCGCCTACCTTTTCCCATAGAAAGGGGCCGAAAAGCATTAAAGAAACAAAAATAAAAATTTAAATAAAAAATAACTTAATTATATTTAATTAAATTATAAGGTGATTAAAAATAGAGGTGCAAACTGCAAATAAAGCACCTCAAAAGAGGTTGTTTTACGTTTCTTTTTCTTTCTAAATTGCAACTTGAAACAAAAATTGGTGTATCCTAAGTACTTTAACAAGATTAGCATAAAAGAATTACATTGGTTAGTAACTCTGTATTTTATATTGCTAATGGCGGCTTTAAATTGATTTATTATATCCTTCATACAACTTTCCATCTTGTATATTCACTATCTGATCTCTCATTAATCTTTAAGGACTAGTGTTTAATTGGAATATGATTATCCATATAGGTCCATCCACGCGAATTTGACCCTAGTCTTATGAAAAATGTCAAGAATTAAAACGTAACTAATAAAAAGGAACACATGAAATATTATTTAATATAAATTGTTATAATATACCTGTATAGTCGTTTTGGAGAGACAACAATTTGTCTATTTATTATAGCCACGATAAACACTCCCTATGATTCATTTGATTGTATTTGAATGATTGATAGCTCTAGTGATCCTACTAATTCTATATCAACAAACTATTTATACCATAATTTACTGGATCTTACAAACCTAACAATTTTTTTTAAAATTATGTGAGTAAAAAAAACTGTCATTCAAGGGATAATCGATGCAAGAGCATTATTAATACTACTACATTAAAAACAAACAAATAGAGGAATATTTCAAAAAATTACTTAGATAAGGGCAATTCCTCATCATCACTATTGGAGACAATTCAGGTTAAAGTTTTAGAGCACACAAAAGAAAGACAACCATAATATTTAATTTTATTTTAAAAGCATTATATACTTAAAGATGGATCGGAGTTTTACATTCAAATATGAAACTATTATCAACAAAAACAAAAATAATCATTACCTATAAAAAAAAAAAAAAGAAAACTATTTTTTTTGTGAAAAACTACGGTATAAAAAATTATAGTAATAAACTACGAGTTCTTTATAAATCATAAAATGTTGTAAGAAGGTACCAGTTATAGGATGTCGAAAATTTGACTATTTTTTTGCATTAACTTTTTTTTGCCCTTTTTCTCCCTTTTTCAAGATAGAAATTGATCCCCAAATGACTTGGACTAAGGCTTTTTCCCCTTTACAGAAAAGACCATGTAAGCTACGGTTTTAAAGCTGCAAAAGAGAAAGCAGCAATGTTTTATTTAATTTTACAATTGTCTTTAAAGATGTACTTTTACAAATATGAAACTATTTTCACCAAAAATAAAATAAAAAATCATTACATTAAATAATTATTTGTTAACTTTGACCATGTAAACAAGAGTAAAAAATTAATTCCAAATTTAATATAATAATATTGAAATTAAAAACCCTTTTAAAAAAATTGAAATTGAAAATTTTTCACATACCTCTCAAAGTCTAAATCACTTTTTCATGTGAACTCTTCCTTCAAGGTATACTATACACCAATTGGTTGTTGGTGCAATAGTGATAATTGTAATGCACTTGGATAGAGAGTACCCGTGTTCGATCCCTCACAACAATAATTAAGAGAAAAGTGAAACCTAACCACTCAGAACTGATCCTCGAAATCGAATCAGCCCAAAAGATGAACCGAGTGGAACACCAAAGAAACAAATATAATACGTACTTATATAAATTTTTTTTAAAAAAAATATAAAAATAAAATAAAAGAAACCTTACAATTGTATACATACATGGGCAAAAATCATGCTCATCATTTCATCAATATAATGGAGTTTCTAACAATAAATAATTCATGTACTACTAATAAAGTTTTTTTTTTATGTCCAAGAAAAATCCTTATGAAAAAGCAAACCATCATTACTAAAATAAAAACCATCTTCTTTAACCATCCAAACGCACATCTTGAATGGGCTACAACGATAACTATCTCTATAAATATAAAAAGCATCAAATTTCTTCCTCATTTGATCCCATTTTAGTGTACAAAACACACGGGTGTTACCACCAACACCCAAGAAATTTGTGGTTTGGCTCCAACTATAGTCATCTCCTTCTTGCAAGGCGCGCCCACCCATATCATTCTCGGGTGACGCGCACCATATCACTAGGGGTAGGGATGAATTGTTGGTGAAGCCATTTACGACACGAACGTTGTATCTTGTACGGTAGAGGGTTTCGGGTTCTCTAATGGTTACCATAAATAGTACGCAAAATGTTAAGAGGCTAAGGAAGAAAGGGAAGAAGGTACAAGACTTGATATCCATGTGTATTAGGAGAAGAAAGAAAGAATGTGTGTGTATGTGCACTTCTATAGTCTATATATAAGAGGCCAAGTATGATAAAGGAGGAAAAATATGTTTAACATATAAAATCAAAATGAAATGAAGAAATGTTACTTTTAAAAAGGTGGCCTTAAAAGGTATTAATCTTTATTATAAGAGGATCAAATGGCCTTGATTATAAAATAAGCAAGTGTGCGAACGAAATTGGAAATTAAGATTTTGAGAATCTCGGGGATATATTTACATATTAAGACCATCATTCACATATCAAAGATTTTTATTTATTTTTCTTTAGAAATCAAAGATAATTACGATTTAATTGATTACATAGATACTAAGGTTAAAATAAAAAAATATTATGGAATGAAGGCCCATTCATTTCACCTTAAATGAATAATATTTAGTTAAAATAATTTCATTTCAGTAAAAATAAGTTTAGTTCAGCAAAAATAATTTCAATTCAGTAAAAATAATTTCAGTTCAGTAAAAATTAGTAAACTTAAAAATGACATATAAAAGAAAATCATTAAAATAATTTTAGTTTAGCAAAAATAATTTTTTTCAGTTTAATTAATTTCATCTCTAGAAAAATAATTTCAGTTCAATTAAAATAATTTCAAATCGGCAAAAATAAAGTGAAGTGAATGGGGACGAAGTACTATGTATATTGATACATGTTCAACTAGTTATCAATAATAAATAACACACAATTATTGACAAAAAGGAAATAAAAAAATTTGATCTTGTGAAAAGAAATAAGTGTAAACAAAAAGGAAATATTAATGATAATAACAATTATATGTTTGATACCAATAAGGTACAAAGCAATAAATATGTTACAATAAAGAGTGTCTAATACAAAGTAATAATTGTAATTAATGTTTCTAATTACTCCCTCCGTTCGTTTTTAAATACTTGCTCCATTTCTCCATGTGCAGAGTTTTAGGAGAAATTGGAAAAAGTAATAAAATACGGAGGTTGTGGGGTTGGTGGAAAAATAAAAAATTGAAAAAGAAAAATTCGTGGAGAGGATTGAAGGAGATGAGAGAATATAGAATTAATATTATTGGATCTGCTTGGTGAAATAAATTAGTTAAATATTGTAAAAGCTTTCCAAATAAAAAAATATAGCAAGTATTTAAAAACGGCAAAAAAAAAAAAATGGAAAGTGGAGCAAGTATTTAAAAAAAGAGGGCGTAGTAAGGTAATACTTGTTTTTATAGGATATAGAGTACAAGTAGCAATACATATATGTAGGTTATATTTCAAGCGTTAACCCCTAACTTGAACCCCACTGTGATCATACACTAAAGTACGGTGGCGTCGAAAAGGTAAGAAGATAGAGCAAAAGAGTCGCCAACAAGTTTTTTAGGAACTTGTAAACCGTTCACGAGGTGAAGGTTACACCCCTTAACGATCCAAGAGATCATCAACTCCATAAGGTATAGAACAAAATAAGGGTTCGGGGATGAAGGTACAAATCCAACCTAAAAGAGATTGAACCTGCCCTAATAATAGGCCTCTACTGTATTCTGATCGTATTCATGTACGCTTTCTAATTAACATGCAATCAATAGGATTACCTTAAACCTGTTTAATCTATGTCGGTTGAATTTAATGCACAAATAAATCTATTATTGGCGATCACTTGAATTATAATCGAATTAACCCTAACAAGATTATTAATTATCTTATTAAGCATGATTACAAGTACCAGTTCCCTTTAAACATGCATAAAATTGGCGTGATCAAGCAATAAATAAAAATAATGTATCAAGCAATATAATAATAAATAATAATCATGATCATAAAATTATAACAATGAAATAATCATCATAATAACAATCATACTAACCATAATAATAATCATGTTAGTCATAATAATAATAATTATAAAATTATAATCATAATCAAAACAATTATAAAAATAATCATGAATCATGTTAAAGCATAATGAAAATAGCAAGATCCTAGGCATGATACTAACAAGATTAATAACAAACCCTAACATGTCACTAAGCAATAAAAATCAAATCTTTAGCCCTAACATGATACTAGCAATCATAAATATTAGGAAGAACATAGGAAGAATCGTAACAATCATATTTAATATTAAAATTACCCTAGACATGATACTAGGAATATCATAATAACAATTTAAACATGATTTCTACATCATAATATCAATAAATCATTAAAGCACTTACTTTGAAGCCTCGTACCTCTTTCTAATAACAAAATACACGCGTTAGTAACTTCAAGGACAATAAACAATCAAATAATTAAATTAAATAATTGAAATAAAGATTTAGGACCAAACCCTCAGAAATTAAATCTTTTACGTCTAGGGCGAAGGCAACTTCGAATATGGCTAGGTGTTTCTAACTCTTGTGAATGCGTAATTTTGTATTTGAGAAAAGGCTAGTTTAGAAAAAGAGAGAGAGAGAGAGAATAATCAAGAAAATCTTGATGAGAGTTGGTGAATGAAAACGGAGTTTTTAATACGTTATTTATAGAGAAATCAGCCAAAAACATAAAATATCAAAACAGAGCACTTGGCGCACGCAAAACGAGATTGGCGCATGCAAAACAGAGCTGGCGCCAGCACCAGCTAATTGCCGCCAGGCGCCAATGGCTAGCACCAGGCGCCAATGGCTGGCGCCAGGCGCCAGGCCTGGTTCCTGGCGCTGATTTCAGAAATTCATGCGTTTTTGTTTTTATCATATCTTTTGATCCAGAAGTCCAAATAAGGCATATAATATGTCGTTGGAAATCTCTTAAAGTCTAATTTCCAACCCAATTAGAATAAGATTAAAATATTTTGTAGATAAAAAGATATGACAAAAATAGTGGAAGGGTTTTATTTTTGGATAAAGTTTCATGTCTCATTCATATCTTTTTTGTTATAACTCGGATTTAATATTATAATATATCATTGGAAAGATAATTTCAAGATCTATCCAACCATATAAAATTTGGATAACTATTATGAGGCACGAAAATAAAATCTGATTATATTCCACTTCGTACAAAACAAGGATTCTTAAAAGGAGTAGTTTTATTCAATTTCAAACTCTTTAAAACATAATTATCAATCCTAACTCCATTAGGATTTAAAAGAACCTTCTAGAGTATTATAAAAGACTATAATCAATCCTAATAGCTTTAGGAATGATAATTAATAATAGGCCCTCCTCTAGATCATTGGGCCGCATATAAAAACCAAATCGGGCCCAGTTTAGTATTTTGGCCATAACTTCCTAAAAACCAAATCGGGCCCAGTTTAGTATATATATATATAGTAAATAAAGTAAAATGTGTCAATTTTTTTTTAAAGTGATATGACACGCATGTCGATGTAAAACTTTTGCCAAAAATATCTATAATTATCATTAACTAAAAATTATAACAATTAAATATTAATAATCTACTCATTGATATGATTTCAACAAGTACCCACAAGACTATAATTTTTCTTATGTATAATTCACAAACATTGGTCAAAGTAAGTCCAATGAATAGTGCCAAAATCTCAAATGGGGCTCTTAAAAAAACGGAGGGAGTACTCCTGGAATACTATGGATAATGGTATTCCATACCCAATATGTTTGAGTTATTTATCCTAATTTACTTCAACCAGCTCGTGCTACCTTACACAAAAAAATTACTACCTTCGTTAAGTTTTATTTGCAACTTTGAAGTGCAACACGGATCCTAAGTCAAAATTTCATAATGGTGATTATGGAATGAAAGGGTTTGTGATTCAGGAGGAGAGAGATAAATTAAACATGATTAGTAAACTACCCAAGCCACTCACCATGTGACCAGGCCACCACCGCCGAAACCACCTAAACCAGACCAGCCACCACAACCGACACCACCTAAACCAGACTAGCCACCACCACCGACACCCCCCAAACCCAGACCGCTGAAACCATCGAAATTACCAAACCCAGACCACCACAACCACCGAAACTACTAAAACTTCCAAACCCAGACCACCACAACCACCGACACTAACGAAACTCCCAAACCCAAACCGCCACCACCATCGACACCGCCGAAACACCCTAAACCCGACCTACACCACCGATCTACACTAGCAAAACCCCCACTGAAACCCCTGACACCACCTAAATCTAGACGACCCACCAACATTGACACCACCTACAAAACCCACGAAAATCACTGAAACCACCCACAAGACCCACGAATATCACTAAAACCACCCATAAACCCACCGAAAATCATCGAAACCACCCACAAACCCACCAGAAATCACTAAAACCACCCACAAATCCACTAAAACCCTTAAACCCAGAATACCCACAAACCCACGAAAATCATCCAATACACGAAAACATGTGTGTTGCTTCCCTTTTTGCCGCAAAACCACCATAGCCACGACGACGTTGTTGCTAGTGCTAGCTAGAGTCGAAATCAATGGAGGTTGTGATTGAGAGGAGAGAGAATAGAAAGAGCCAAAAGTTGGGAGTTGTTAGATCCAAATTAATTTGTTAGTGTAATGTAATTAATCATTTAAGTGAATGTTTAATTTTTAAAATAAGGGCAATATTGACATTTCCAGTAAAAAAAACTTACTAAAAAGGGAAAGATTTGGGAAAGTTGCAAATAATACTAAGCATCCAAATATAGTAAAAGTTGCAAATAAAACTTAACGGAGGTAGTATGTTATTTTTCCCAAATGTTGTTATATTTTACATAAGCTTCATCTTATGTTATTTTACCAATAATACCAATATTATTTACATGCACAAACTTTAATTTGTGTTATTTTCTTAGACCTTGTGTTTGTTTGCTTAAACTTTGATTATTTTTTGTATTCAAAACCAACTTATGTGTATTCTCACTCCTTTGACATAATTAAATATTAAATGAAAATTATTGTTAAGAGTATATGGAATATTCAAATTAACACAAGAGCTTTATACAATGAAATCTACGATGTTGAATAGTATAAAACAT